TTAGCAAACACAACAAAATATATTCACTTATATTTTCAATATCGCTTGTGTTGTGTTCTTATTTGCATTTACAAATCATCTTAGTTTATCATCAAAATTCAGAAGCAAAAATCTCAAAAAGATTTTGATTCTATATCAACGTTGGTGAGTATTTATTTTGTCATACATAATTTATACTGTTAAAAAATTAATTTTATTTAAGATCTTTTATTCATTATTTAAGCTTTTTGTTAACATGCAGATATATCCATGCATTCTTGCCGAAAACAGATATTCACGAATTCTTGATAACCTCTATTGATAACAGTTGAAACTCTGTCAGTACTACATGATGATGATGTTTAGAGCTAATCGAGAGATTCCCTTGATGCTTAGATCAAACTTTCAAGAGAAATACAAAATGTTCAATTTTGACCAAATTTGTGAGATATATAATTCAGCTTTTGATAACATGTACAATAATCAAAGTTAAACTACATATACAGTCGGTTGCGTTTAACTTTAGCTATGTCATGTAAATAAGTACAATTATTAAGAATTTTGCAATTTATTTATATCATTAAATGAAAAGCCGTTTTAAAGTATATATATATGACCTAAAATAGCGTGATCATTAGTCGGACCACTCTATATTTTCACACGTAAAACATGTGACAATTATCAAAATTACTATTAAGCAATCAATAAAGTGCACACTTAGATTAAACAACAAAGATATATTGAGAATTCAAAATGTTTACCACCCAGAAAAGCTACATTCAAGCTATTTACGACCTAAGTGAATTTATTTATTTAAATCTTTGTTTCCATAGGTTTCCGTTTAGGAAAATTTGAGTGATTGTTGTATCGTGAGAATCTAACGCAGTATTTTCAACGAAATTCAGGTTTGTTGAATGAAATAAAGATGAGTTAGTGAATAAGCGTGATATAACAATGCAAGAAGATTAGACCAACAGACGAAGTTGAACAATAAACAATAGCACATTTAATATTATTCATTCTTAACAACACAATATGATTCAAAATAGAAATTTACGAAACACCAAATACTGGACAATAACAGCTCAGACGTAAGCACACAAAAATCCAAAATTCAAACATCTGTAGAATGAAATATGAGCAGTGCCCAAAGAATTCTTGGCCAAGGCAATGACAGCTATCTAGTATTCATGTCAAGCTGTGATGAAGACTACTTTTTCCTGTTTATTGATGGATAGGTTCGAACCTACTACCAAGCATTTAGTAAAACAAAGGCTCTAAACAATAAATCAGTATTCAACTACATGATTCTCAGACGATGATGATAAAGAATTTCGCATACAGAGTATATGATTTATTATAATATAGTTTCACTAGTCTTAATAAAAACCATTTTACTTAACTGTCCATTATTGAAAAACAATGGTGAGCTGCAAATGATGTTCAATGAGGGGTAACAGGCATAAGTAAGTAATTAACAAACAATACATTCACAACTACAAAACTATCCGAAACCACAAAATTGTGTCTATTAAAAACTGAGAAATAACAGTAATGGGAAGAAATGAATTTGACTAGTCAAGTATCACCTTGTAATTCAACTGAAAAAGAAGACAATTTAGCCATGTAAAAAAAAATCAGAATAAGCGTATTTTAAGCGTTGAATATAACCTAGAATAGATCATATGTCAAAATTAATTAGAAAATAATCGCCAATGATCTCTAAAAAAACAACAACACGATATTAAATACCAAAGTGAAAATATTACTGAATAAATAACAGCAGTGAATAAGTGCATAACATTTGTTAATGACTTGAAAAAAACCTGATTGAAAAATTCTCTCAGATTGACAGTAATATAGTGGAAATAAAATAATGTTTAAATACATGGATAGACTCTGAACAGCTGATGCTTTGTTCTATTTAAATGTCATGAGTAAACATTTGAAAAGGTACTAACACCAATGGTTAAAGTATTAATTTTATTCAATTTCAATTACTATTAATCACTATGCCTCAGATTAGTTATATGATTGAGCAATACAATTTCGTATAAATTTTTTTTCTCAATACAATTGACTGTTATTCATTTCAATAACTCATCAATGTTAAATGTTGTATAAGTCAAGCTTTTTAAAAGTTTGATAACTTAACATTAAGAAACTTAGATTTTTTAGAAATCATTAATTTAATGGATGATTTCTAAAAGTTAACTTGGTATTATATCAAATACTTTTACTTATCTGTTTATATTTGTGGGAAAATCCAAATTTCATTATCGTAAATTTATTTACAATTTTGTATTGATTTCTCTCATCACTACTGTTCATTTCATTAGGGAAAGATAAAAATGGAACATCCACAACTAGACTGGGAATCGAATCTATAGCCTTCAGTTTTTTTTTTCATTAAGGATGGCTAACTTTGAGATCATTGAGCTGGCAACCAATGGCATTATCCAATGTCTAAATTCAACTAGTTCATGATAAAGTGCAACCATCTTCCAATGCCGGTGGTAGTTTACATTCGCTACAGTTAAACTACAGTTTATGATGTAATGAGGCAGTTCAATCCAAATGTACTTGGACGGAAAATAATGTGTACTATGGTTAGTGTTTTTTTTGTTTGTTTTTTTAAAAACCCTAGGAGTGAATATATACAAACGAATTTATATAATATTAGAACAAAATATAGTTGTCAAAAATTCCACCAGTTAAATCACACGTGAAGAAACCTTCCAGAGACGAAAACAATGTAAAATATATGTCTACAAATAATCCATCTTCATAGTTGAAATCACGAGTCGATCTAATCTAGATAAACATTGAAAACCTGGAAGCACTAGATGATTATTTCGTCCTAGGATGGGACCCACCAAAAGTGCGCGTCCAGGATGCCGCTTACTGAACTCGAACCCAGGACCTACAGACTCGTGCATGAACCCTTAACCTACAGACCACTGAGTAATCATCAAATGATGTTAATGTCTAACTTCAATCGATCTATGATCTTGCCCAACTCTCTCCCATTGTCTTCGTACAGTAACTGCCAATGCTTCCAGGTTTTTAATAGTTGTCTAGTTTAGATCGACTCATGAATTCAACTGTGAAAATACTACAATCTGTACAAATACCCAAACAGAAAATAAATTATTCGCAAGTAATCATATGAGAATAAATAAGCGAATGTACGATAAGGTGAAAGAAGTAGACCTAGTTTTTCACATCGATAACAATATTAAAGAAAAACAGATAGCATCAACTAAATAATAACCGCATAAAGTATATTTGACTCAGTTCAAACTAAAAATCATTATTCATTTATGACGAAAAAATTCTTAAAATCACTGGTATTTGAAATGGTGAAGACAATTTTTAGCTCAACTGTCTTTTCTGACGATAGTGTGTTGTCTAAACTGTTTGAATTAATGATTTGGCCCTAATCTTCGGGGTTTTTGGATTAGCGTTTTGTAATTTTGAACAAGAATCAGTTATCTTTTAGCAATACTTTGTGATCATTACTCAGTTATTATTATGACTTTTATGCTTTTCGTTTTTCTTCATATTTGTCAAGTGAACAATTATCATTCATAGTTTTGATACGTAAATTATTTTCATCCTTATATTCTTCCCTAACCCCCTGATTATTACGTAACCCCATTTGATAATTGGAGTCTCGAATCACTTTATTATGCAATTTTGTGTGAATTAATTCTAGAGAATTCACTGTCAGTCTACACGACAACATCATATGTGCTTATTATTCTTATTATTATTAATGGGTTTATTAAAAATTATATTTTTGGTACAATATGGAATTCTCAGCACAATTTGTTTTAAAAAGTTTTTGTTTCTTATTTCTTGATCGACCCTGATGATAGATATTGAGTAGTCACCAGTTCACGAATCGACATCTGAATAATATCCATTCTTATCAATGCACATTGCCACCCATCACGATGTCTCCGGTTGTACATTTTTGTAGCTTGTACGGCGAATGGTTGTAAACTTTTTACAAACCCACCTGAATAATTTATGCGATTAATAGACATAATAATGTGGTAAAACAAACAAAAACAGATAACTTGGTGAATATGTAGATGGCAGGAACAGGTAGCCCAGATAATCAAGCAGGTCGCCCCTAAACGTTAACATCACCTAAAACATTAGATCAATTGTTATCCACTGTAGATAATGAGTTAGTGTTAAAATCACATGGTTTTCAACTAACCAAAGTTTGTAGACTTGGACCTAGCTGTACCATGGACAGGTTAATCTGCTGGATAGTATAATTAATCTCCAAACAAAAAGGAAATCTAATCCAAAGGTCAGTAAATACACTTGTACTGGGTCAGTTACAGTATTATTATTTCAGATTGCTTTAGGTATTACTAAAATTAGTATACTACTTTATTTTAAATTAAAACAACTTATGAACACTTTATGAGATTATATCACAATTGTGTGTGAAAGAGCAGTAATCAAATAATGCAGTCCCTCTATCTGCGACTCACTCATTCCATTCAATTAATCGAGTACGTTTTTCTTAAAGTGTAAACATTACGTAACAAAAAAAATTAAATCATTCTAATCTAAACTTTAGATTTGCACTGAACTATTGTATACTAGAATATTAGAAATCAAATAAAAGAATACGAAATCAATGGTTAAATAAAATGAGTAAAGAGTCTATCAAGTGCACAAATTATAGTAAAACAACAATTTAAACCATTTAATCTCATAGAGTGCTAAAGATTTATTATTCTAAAAAAAACGGAATCAATATAGAACTTTGAAAATAGGTGAGAAAAAGAGAAAATGAGTGAGTTTAAATAAAAAGAAATACTTTAAACAATTACATGGAGGATATGAATGGTATAATTATTGTATAATCATTGAAATCTAACAGTATAACCTAAAGTCTTGTTCAATTTATGGAATAAGGGAATCATTAGATGAATTGGATGAAAAGTTTGATTAAATAGAGCGATTGACAAAAAAAACCTTTAATGAACACTTACTAATCTTCGTCGTTTTTTATTCCAACCTTCAGCTCTTCTCCTGGAGTCTGCACGACCAGAGGCTATTACAATGAAAATATGAATTGAAAAAAAAATAACGAAATGAAAAATAAAAGCATAATGGTGATATTTACATGGAATATTTTTAGCACATCATGGTATATGTGATAAGATAAATAAATTATTCATTAGAATAATTTCTTTCTACATTTAATTATGTCATTAGCAATTAATGTTTGTTGAATCATCTATGGAAATAAAACAGTAATTTGTAATCTCCATCTCCACAAATCCGCGTAGTGATAATCATGTTTTCACTAGTGACTAGCTTCAGGATTAATTCATTGGAATTCTAGTGAGGAGCCGTGACAAATGGACTTCAGTCCGTGTCGTGTGTGAGAAAGTTATGAAGGGTTGAGAAACATCATGAATCAGTTTAAGTTAGATATTAATACCGCTGGATGCCTGCACAGTGGTCTACAGGTTAAGCGTTCGCGTACAAAACCGAAGGTTCTGAGTTCGAGTCTCATGTGCGGGACTGTAGATGAGCACTGTTGAGGAGTCCCATAGTGAGACGAAACCGTCGTTCAATGTTTACAGGTTTAGTATAGATCCACTCGCCAACTGAACTGTGAAAATAATGAAGTGGTACGATCTTTATAATAATTGTAAATTGTTACTTATTCATTGTCAGGAAAATGTGTTAGATTTAGTTCAATAATTAGGAATTATTTCAGTTCTAAATAACGATTAGAATGAGTAAGAAGAATTGATATTAATCGAATTATTTTAATTGACATATAAAGTAAGTTATCTAATCAACAACTTCATCATTGAACATTCGAATTCAAAGGAATCGTATTTATTTTGAGTATATTACAAATATCGTTAGATTTTTAAGCGAGACTATAATTTATAGACGAACCAATCAGGTATAAGATTTCGCCACGAAATTCACTCACTCATTTGGTTAAATAGAGCCTTGGTATTATAGCTGATGTCAGTTCGTGATGAAAATACTAAATCTAATTTCTAACCTTAACCATCAACTGTAAATCATAATTCGAATTCCTCACACAACTTTATAATCTTCATTTGGTCCTAGTTATCAGGTAGGCACTCACATGGTCAGCCTAGAGTCGCCCAAAGGTAGTCTCATCGATTTCTATGTTATTAATAAGTAAAGCTTCAATACTGAATGCATAAAATTCCAATTGACTAATGAAATAATTTTATTAACTGTGCTATACTTTTTTTGCAAAATGATTAATGAATTTTAAACAAAACCTTTAAATAGAACTGAAATATACTATTTGTATTTTACAGTGTAAATTCGATAGGATTAAATCACATTGCTGAATATTTAAAAAAAAAAACTTTGGAATTTTTCAGTATATTTTAATTGTGTCATGTGAATGCTTGTGAAATTTTTACGACATTAATCTTGGGAAGTGGAAATTAGAGAAAACATTAAATATTATAAGATATTTTATCAATCAAGTATTTACTGTGTCGATGTATTCGATGATTACTTAAAAAACTAACAGTCACATAATCATTCTAATTTATATACACAGTAGACTCATTCTAATCGTAACATTTGGTATATATACAAAACAGCCCTTCATTTGATTCACTTCTTCAATCAGTTATGCACAATGTAAAAGTGGCACATATGTGCCACGAATTACAGTTACTGAACAGCATCAGTACAGTGAAATGTCGAAGTATTATAAAAAGTAACAGTAATAATGATAGTAATGAAAATATATTTTTTCTTATATCCCAATGAGTAGAAAATTGTATTTCTGACGTTTGGTGACTTAATGCAAGCCACTCTTTCAGAACAAACAAACTACAGAAATAAGATTAATGCAAGTTTAAATAGTACAAAGGAAACAATGAAGATTATTTTTAGTACAGTCGAAACCATAATATTAAATCATAGTGTGGTGTGTTACTTATGACTGAAGATATAAGTAGTATGTAAAACAAGTTGGAAGTGAAATGTTTACGAGTAGAAGGTTGAGATTAAAATGAAAAGAGAGAAGGAACAATGAAGGTTGTAAGAGACAATTCAAAGAAGATATGTGATGATTTTCACGTTTTGCTAAAGCACTGTGTAATTGTGCATTAAACAATACGTTGGTCTTCCCTCATCTGAGTGTTCGTTTATCACAATAGTGTTGATGATGGCAGGAAAGATCAAGCGTAAAAAATGATTTAAGAAATCATAAACTCATGGCATAAAAAATTTTTCAAGATAATTTAGATACTGAGGATCTAACGGAAGAGTGAAGTCATCTGTTTCATTGGTAGTGATTCTAAGTCATGTCATCTGAAATCTCTAGCTATGCTGAATGCGATAATAGTGCAAACATCAATCACGTATTCTGTACTTAACTCTATATTACTGAGGCCAACAATCAATGATTTTAAAGATTGATGCTACGACTTATTTAAGCCAACTACGGAGATTGTCAAATCATTCGTACTTTTAATTCAGAAAGAAATCAAATTATTAGTAGCGTCTTTATTTTTATGTATTTCTTAATAATTTATTAATATACGGATTATGAAGATGAAATTTCTTTCTTTTATATATTTCAAATATCATTATGTAATTATTTGAACTTTTATACAGTTGACCTTCATTAATTTTCATGTTAGAAATGCCTTTACATGTACATAAATGTGACCAGACTATTGAAAATAAGTTTTATAAATGCATTATATATTATTTTTAAGTTTCATTCTATGTTCTCATAATAAAAACGATGTTTACAAAACACTTATAACAACTAAGTTTAGTAAATGCATTCCGAAACTAGGCAATCACTCAATCATAAATGGAGAATAAATTAGAGCGAAATAATTTAAATAACAATAATCTTAGTGTCTAGTCAATATTTTTTCTGGTAAGCGTTTTTTTAGAGAGTTAGTTTTCTACGGGATGGGGGCGCTAACCCCATGCCCAACCCTCCTCCTTTACCCGGGCTTGGGGCCGGCAGTAACCCTATAAGAGCTACAGGCGAGAATCTTCAATACCAACGTCAAGGCAGTTCTACTGTATGGAGCTGAAAATTGGAGAACTACAACAACCACAATCAAGAAAGTACAAGTATTTATAAATAGCTGTCTACGCAAGATACTCAACATCCATTGGCCGGATACCATCAGCAATAGCTTTCTGTAAGAGAGAACAAACCAGCTTCCAGTTGAAGAGGAAATTAGGAAAAGACGATGGAAATGGATAGGACATACATTACGCAAATCGTCAAACTGCATCACGAGGCAAGCCCTAACTTGGAATCCTGAAGGGAAGCGAAAAAGTGGAAGGCCAAAGAACACATTGCGTCGGATAATAGAAGCAGATATGAAAAGGATGAATTACAACTGGAAGGAGCTAGAAAGGATTGCCCAGGACAGGGTTGGATGGAGAATGCTGGTAAGCGGCCTATGCTCCTTCACGAGGAGTAACAGGCGTAAGTAAGTAAAGTAATGTAGTCAATATCCATAACCATGAAATGTAGTTCGAAATAGGCGGAGTAAGTCAGTCAGCTACAAAGTAGGACCAAGCACAATTGTGCATCGGTCCAAGTTGCCACACCTCATTGGCACAACAGGATGAACACCAAAGAGGTGGATGAAACTAACGATTTATATGAACATACAAAACTAATGCAACTGGACCACCCCTGATAGAGGCGGTCAGCAAATGTTTCAACATTAAAAATCAAATATCGAGACCTCTGAGCGGAAACAATGCTTTAATAATCAATAATATTAATAATAATAATAATAATAAAATGAAGTAAAACAAAACCGCTGCAAAGTAACCTGAAACATAAATGTAACATTATCGACCGTAACCGAAAGGAAAAACACCAGACAAGGCGAAAAGAAATCTTTCAAATTATCATTGTACACTTGTGATGGAGTTTCAAGGGATTATCAAGAAAACAACTACTCGGTGCTTCTTAGCTTTCACTGACTTTTCATCATTTCATATCAGTCCTTACAGCAAAAAACAGTTCCTTCAGGTTGAACATATTTTTACAACCCAGTGAACTAAGTAAACTTATGATAAGTATTGAAATGCTGTAAATACTAACAAGTGCAACCATATAAGAATATTGATATGCGTATTTATCAAATATTTATTTATGAAATGAGCCCAGTTAACTTCAGATTAAATGAAGAAAAGTAACCAGTAGAAATGAGGAATAATACAATTACATATAAAAGCTTTTTCTGTTTGTTCAAAATTAACTCCAACTGGCAGATATTAAAAAAGAGAGATGTAAGTAAAAGACTTAATCAAGTTCAATCATAGTTTATTTGTTTATTTTTTAAACGATATATTTATTGTCTACCGCGAAAATCGATCGTAATTGAAGTGAATCATTCGATTTAAAAACTCCATGGTTTTAGGCAGTGTATGCTGCATTATAAGATCTAAAAGCGTTAGGTTCGTGCGAACATAAAAACATTTTCCGGTCAATTACAAATCAGTTGATGCTGATCATAAATAGATCGGAATGAACATGAACAAAACACTCAACTTCTGGTCGTAAAAATAACTCCAAATGAAATAGTATTGAGTGAAATATTCATTGAAAATAAATATTGAAAAATAGGTTATATAAGATAATTATTTTATTGAAATCATAAACTGATCTAAGTAAGACCGCCACTGAGAGATGGAAGCGAAAGACAGCCGTTCTATTTAAATATGAGACTCCTCAGCATTGCGTATTCACTAGCCTACAAGCAGGAATCGCACCCAGGACTTTCAGGTATCGCGTACAAACATTTGACCTCTAAACCACTGAGCCGAAATCCAACGTCGTAAGATTTTTAACTTCTATCAATCCACGATATTGTGCGACTATCTTCTATTGTCTTTGGTTGATAACTGCCTCGCACCTAACACGGTTTAATTCCACTGGTCACGAGTTGTGACCAGTGAGCAAATGATACTTGTCAGTAAAAAGTTCAACGATCTCCACAACCCCAAACTGATAATTAATTTTAGTCTGATCAATAAGAAAAATAACTGGATCGATAGTGTGATTATTTGATAACTGAAGATTAAATAATTTATCACAGTATCATGTTCAAGATTTTCATGCAACATACAAATAGAAATTTTCTAGACTTTTTAAAGAATTTAGTTCATTATTACTAGTGATCAATAATTTTGTCGCCAGTTAACCGCTGATTATACTGTAGATTTTTCAAAACAATTCCATACAAATTTCAGGTTACTCAGATACATATTATTTAGTAAATTACCAAAATACAGTTAGTAGTCGATGATTACATGATACTATCTAAATTTCTCATAAAATATGTTCACCATAGAATGTGTTAGATAATAACATGATTAACTTTGAAAGCGGTCAGTCTTCATCGATTTACCCCGTCAATACAACGTGGATTAAAACACGCTAAAAACCTTCCGTTTAATTTAGATCTGACTTTTTCTCTATATTATGATACAATATAGTTTTACCCATTGAATTATTTAATCTTTGATACTTCATATTATTATAATTAATGACATGATTCATCAACAAATCGGCCAATGTTACATTATATTCAACAACTGTACGGATTCATTGAAGTTAAGTGTCATCTCAATGGTCTAATTGTATAAAGTTAGCAGCGGGATCTGATGTTCATAGGCTGAATCATCAATGAGATCTTGCATGAGCTTTGTTGAGTCTCAAATACTAAGACGCAACAGTCTTTATAATTCTCCTAGGCTGTTAATGATACACGAATTGAGGTAAATCTACAACGAACACCGCCTACAAATTAAATTGATTACCATAAAGCCACGTCATTAATTGGATTATATTTTGAAAAAGTCTACCAATTTAACGAAGCTCGTTTATGGACACACACATATATAACATTCATGAAATATAAAGAAACGAACAAAGAAATAACAGCTCCTGTTTAAATTAACATACACGCGCGCAGAACTAATATTTATTCATCTATTCAATTGTCACTCGCATATCGAGTATATATATATATATATATATATATATATATATATATATATATATATATTCAGAGTACTACCACCATCGAATACTTTAAATTAGTCACTTATCATAAAAGAACCTAATTCATCCTAAATGAAAGGTTCAGAATAAGAATGAAGCGGATTTAGAGTACAGTTAATATGGTTTGAAGTGATAATAACAATTATATTTTTTGCTCTTCCCTACATAAACCGTAGAAGTAGATTATAATAACACAGTATAATATCACATTTATCAGTGGACCAACCTAGAAAACAACAGATTTGGATATATATATATATATATATATATATATATATATATATATATATATATATATATATATATATATCATACTTAAGTATTGAATTATGATAAGGATTCCATTGAATAAACTATATACAAACCAATAATTTATCTTAATGACACACGCACCCGTACATGGAAATATATCAAGATGAGAAAGGATAGTGAAAAAAAAACAAATAAATGCTTTTATACTATCCAATATAATCGTTACTGTATATATGCTCAAAATATGTGGGTAACAATTAAAAATTTATTATTGAAGTATAGATATTATAAAATGATAATAATTAAACTATTAATTATATGAACTGCTGAGTAAATATATGTGTATATGTATTTTCCGACTTTGAATTATTCAGTGTTGATTGTTCTGAAGGAGGAGGTACTTGAAAAGGAAATTGGGTTAGAGGTGGTTTTGGTGACCTGGGAGCGTGACCGCGGTGCCCAAGAGACAACTGCTTGAGGTCGGTCACACACGACCTTTTTATGGGTAATTTTTGTGTTGGCTCCGTACTTGTTGAGACCTTACCGCCGGAGACGGATATCCGTGGAATAAGGCGAGGTGCGCATTTTTAAGGTCGACCTTTTCTAACCCCATTCCTCCTTGTGGGAAAGCAGCATCGCTGCAGATGCTGGTTGTCTGAAGGAAACACCTTACTGCTGTCACACCTCTGTACAGTCAGCAGTACGACTTCGCCATCGAACCTTGGGTTTGTTGCTTTTAGTCTTACCGCTCTTCAACCGACCTGTCTGACATGGTAGGACCTTGAGGAACGGTTGTTCCAGCCAGTATAGCTCGGTTACTTCATCACGATAGGCAAGCCTGACCACCGCGTCAAGGTAGCAACAACGGTCAAGTCAGTGTTGATTAGTTCATTGAATATGTGCCTTGCTATTACTTGTTATTTATATGTGAATAACGTGCTCTGGAGGAGTTTGAAGTGATTTATGATATTACCTGATTCGAATCTTAGTCTGAATATTTTAAACATATAACATTAACTGGACTTTTTTAACCATACGATTTTAGTGACTGAAATGAATTTCATAAAAAATGTTTACATTTGGAGGTCAACTTAGTGCTCTACATTTCATCAAGTTGAAATTAGGAAATAAATTAAAATAATACTATTCTATGGTATCATTATATTATGCAATAAAATGGACAAAATAATTTATGATTACAGCACACTAATAATAAATAAAACTATAAACAGATATGGATGGTGGTTAGCATTGGGATCTAGGGCGTGTATTTCGACCTATTTAAGATTCGTCAACTAGATTTATCTATATCCCTGAGGTGATGTTCACTCCAGGACTCAAACCAAGTATCGACTGCTTAAAACGTCAAAGCTTAATCCACGTAACTTCTGAGTGCAAGTAGCCACCAGCTTGTGTAATAAATAACTGTTCATATTTTGATTCTTATCATTAACAAAGTGATACTTTCAACAATAGTGATGGAGTAAATACTACTTTTATTAATAAATAATGCATGTCAATATACAGATGAAAATTATTTTGGTGTGTACATATGTAAGGCTCGCTTGACATAGTATTTTTAAAAGAAAGCGCTTAAATGTATCTGATTCATCTCAATTTCGTCGGAAAACCGATATATATGGTAACCATAATTATAAAAGCAATAACAATAAAAAGAACAATTTATGGTGAAATTATTATTGATAGAAACAAAAAACGAAACAACAACACATACATATACTTACAAAAATCACTTGGTTTAGCTTGAGATAAATCTTTGTAGAAATCTGTTCGATGAGCTTTTTTCAAACCTGTACATAAGCCAAAATCACTCAATTTAATATGACCCTATGGACCATTCCAGAGAATATGATATAGTTGTAGTTGTGATTACGTCATGTTGATAAATGCAAACGCATGAACGATGAGTTAGATGATTGAGTCGGGAGAGGAAAAAAAGGAAAATCATTATGACATTAATAGAATGCTAAATAAATGGTGTTTTAATCTAGAGGCAATTAATAGGGATTGTAGAATTTTAAAGTAGTTTCAGTCATGAATTGATATTAACTAGACAACTATTAATGACATGAAAGAACTATACAGCCGTTTAATTGTAGCATGGGACTACTAAACAGTGAAGATTCACGAAATTACATCCAGGAATGGAATCAGGTGTCAATGGTGATTTGCATAAGATCAATACGTGAATCAAACAATGAGAATTCTACAATCTCCTCAATTCTCTTTGTACTAATAATAATCATGTGGTCATTAGAAACTAGCTCTGAGTTCGAGTGAGAAGTAGTGACCAGTAGAGCTCAAGCAATTGATGAGGATTGCGCAATATTGTGCAATGAAATGTACGCTAATAGATCCCGGCTTAGCAGTCTAGAGGTTAGGGGTTTGCGTACGAGACCGAAGGTTCTTGGTTCCATTCTCGGACACAAGTTCATGGGTGCGCAGTTCTGTGGAGTCTCATATTAAGACTAAGTGCCCGTCCAGCACTTCCAAGTTTTCAATAGTAGTATAGCTGAGATCAGTTCGTGATCTAAGTTATGGAAAGGTTATTTAGAAAACTCAGAGACGATTTAAACAAGAGAATAAATAAGAAATGAGAGAAAAACATCTGTTTATAAACACTAGCTTTGTGTATGGCGCATATTTGAACAAAGCATTGTTTAACAAAAAGAGAGTAAGATGAACAATACGTAAAGAAATAGAAGAACAAAGAGAAAAGGCTCTCTTTCTTGTTTTCTACTAAAAGCTGAACTGAAATTAGGATATGTTTTTTGTTTTCTTAGAAAAAGAATGATAGATATATGCATTAACATAATCATTTTATTAGTAGTATGTACACTAACAAATTAAATTAACACAACATATCATTCGGATTTAAATCAAAAATATCAAATAATTTATACCGAAATACAACATTAATTCTAGTAATGACTTTAATAATATTATTTGATCAGTCGATTAATTCGAAAAACTGATTTATAAGCAACAGCTGAAGTAGTGTAGTCAACAGTTACACATCTCCAAACTACAGTCTACTCTGTTGTACGATATTTGTTGAAGTAGGATTATGGTAAAACAATATCAAGGATTGACGAATTGATACCATGACACTAAATGATGAAGTTAAAGACTGTCTATTTATGTTGTGAATTTAGGTGGAATTTTCTTTAAGGACTTCTAAACGCTGATGAAAATAAATGTTTAGGCCTTCTAATCGACACAGTATATAAACGACAACCGATTATGATACAAAAGACCTTAACAGGATTAGAGAATAGGGATTAAATCATCACAGCGTCAGTTAACAAAGGACCCATCATGGTAGGCTTTGATAAAGAAAATTTTTAACAAGTCGATTTTTTTGTTTGAAGACAACAATGATAGAGCAATAAAAAGCAAATGAGACTGAGTACGTACAATAAGACCTAAACCTACCCTAAAGCATTCTCACTTCACAAAACTTGGAGACAATCACCAGATTTTTATTATTCCAAGGAATAGCTATATATATATATAAAGTTTCTAAAAGATGTCTCTGAAGATAACCTACTACCGTAAAACCGTTATTAAGAACCGAAAGATGTTTATCTTTTAAGAAATAAATAAAATTTTGAAATCCTTGGAAATTAGCAATGCTCAATAAAGTAACAAAATAACTTCTGATTTATACATTGGAAAAAAATAAACAGTGAATAACAATCAGTTATATGACAACCTGCTCCTATTGAGACAGATATTATACTGAAGAAAGTGAGAGTATTCTTCATTTAATTATTAACGAACATAGAACTATTATTAAACGACATCAATGAGTCTAGACAATAACGAATATAGATTTGAACGATAAAGGGTCAAAATTGTATATATCGAAGATACCGTAAAATCATTAATGAGTTTGAAAAAGTCAGACAACGAAGTCACTGTGCCGCATATAGACATGTAGCGACAGATTCAAACCACTTATTGATGAAACCCAGGTCAACAAATCACGTGATCAAAGGTCATCTAAGAACAGCAATCCAATGTGAATAAGTTTCTAACACGGCAATCAGAATGGATGCATTCCGCAAAAATTCTCCTCTGCTTGATAAGACACCTGATGGTGTTATCCAAAATAACAGTTAAAGTTTTGTAATTAAATCCCCCAGTTAAGAAAACCTACCAACATCAAGTTCATTTACTCACTGGCTTTCATAAGGGTCTGAACAGTGTAGTATCTTTAGGAGAGTTTCGCTTATAGACTAGTATATTTCTTTTTTATTCCTTCCATTTTTATTGATTTTCTGCATTTGAGACGATTCTAAACTATGCAATTCATACTGTGCTCTACACTGAAACTAGGCGGTTGGAGGCTATTGTAAAGAAGTTTCGGAACCAAGTTTTGAGGTAGTTAGCACCTGTCATTGAGAAATATTTGACATCTCAAAAAACTGACCTTCTCTGAGGCATTAAAATCTACACCAACTCATGTTATATGCACAGATGTATTTTGACTGCGACTGACTTCTTATAAGACTAGTCAATATGATGTATATACCTTAATACAGAATCAATCCCATCGATCAAGTTGTTGTTAACCTACAATTGTTCTACACACGAATACATCTATCGTCATTACAACTGCTTAGAGCCAACGAGATAGTATACTTGAACTGTAATTTATTCGCTTATTAAATTATGACGAACGGTATCTTATGAAATTATAGAAAAAATAACACAATATTCCAAAATCAAGATTACCTATATACATACATGCACACAACAGCACACCTACCTTTGCATCCAGTAATAAATTGTCAGGTTTAATATCACGATGAATAAAACCCATTTTATGTATTGAATCTATTGCTAGAACGGTTTCTGCTATATAAAATTGTGTTTGAGATTCTGTCAATGTATCTCGTTTCATCAACAGTGTCATCATATCACCTAGAACATGAGAACACGAAAAAGGAAAAATCACAACATCAAAATAGATAGAAATGAACCAGATAAGATAAACAAATTTTTGTTATCAAAATTATGGATAATATTGTGAAAAAAAGACGTTACAGTGAAATTAAACATTGTTCCTACTAGTTTACTCTAATTTATTTATAAACCACAGAGCTAGGAGGAGTTTATAATCATCCGTGTTTTAGCATTATTCGGTATAAACACGAATTTCTTTTTGAAAAAGATTTGAAGATAAATATTGATCGAAAGATGTTGGATACATTTTAGACACTATCAGTGGGTATTTTTAACTTAATCTCAGTAAAGAAATAATAGTACCGAATGAGTCTTGGCTACGTGAACTAAAACGACTGAAGTGAGCCAGGAACCTGTAACTTATAGTGTTTTAATTCCTGGACTAGCGTTCTCGATCATAACAGCTACTTACGCTACACTCATCATGAATAATTCGAAAATATATAACAAGACTTGGCCACAATTAACGATTCATAATTGATCGCTGACAAACTACATACTTCAATATTATTTGTAAAAATTATATTTGAAATTATCTCAGAGATTAAAATTTAAAGAATTCCAACGTTTACTGAACGAAACGTTAATCATTCAGATTATTTTAAAAATAATTTTCGCAAATATTGTCTTCTATATACTCGGCAACCGATTTCTGTCAAACTATTCGTTTAAACATTGACAGATTCTCCTTTGTCATTTTAAAACTGATCAAGCGAGATTGAGAATTCATTTTCAACCATGTGTTAAGATATATTCAATTGTATTATTATTATTATTACTTAGACAGGGGTTGAAATGAACTTGATTTTCTACTGTATTTAAATAAATAAATAAATAAACAGTAAAACTAAGAAAAAAACGATAGAATGAACACCGACTGACTGATATGAAAACGATCAACTGCAGTTGAAGTAATTGAAAATCTAAAAAAATCTTTGTAATTTTATTTGTTCTACTTTGAGAATCGAAAGAAAAAAAATCGATACCTTCGATAAACTAAGTTATCGACAACGATAATGGATTATCACGTGAATCAGTATTTATCTATTTAGAATAGATAAATCGTGGTTAGCACTGAAATTCAGGACGCTCATTTCGTCCTTTTTAGAATTTATCACCTGACTGTGAACAGGCATACTGGTATATCCAGGTAGCGAGTCTCAAACAAAACAAAACGCACATTCTAGATTCTATTATTAGGCAGGAACTATTTGTTCTAAACTTTTGGATTCGTTTAGTTTAAACAGAGTATTGATGATATAGTAGGATAATCATAAAAGACGGTATTAGAAACAAAAAAAAATTAACAACACAGGTCACAGGGGCAAACAAATATGCATACACACTTAGTATAATATAAAGATGATGGATCATTCTGCTTGAATTGAAGTAACCTGAAATTTATCCATTAAAATCAAGTATACTAGTTTAAAAATACAAACTGATGACTACACTTGTGTATGTATGCGTATAATCAATTAAGTGGATCATGACCTACAAGATGTTAGTCGATTACAAAACGATTCGAAAGGTAGGATTCAAGAGGAGTAGAAGAAAGATTAAACATTAGTACTTATCACTTACACTTAGACGTACGTATATAAGAGTGTTTGTGAAGCTTAACTTTTCAAGGTCAAGGACATTTTTAGACTGTTATCATACGATCACTGATATTCCGCAGGCGTTCCTCTTTTACATTTTTAAGCATCTAGAAGTAAATTTCTAAGCATATACACCAAATCGGTTTGTGAGATAGAAAGCATCAATCTACTTATATAGTTGGGAAATTTGTTATCCACATATAGCCTAACCACGGTCTACACTGACAAGCCAAGCTAGATAACATACGAGTACATTGATAAAATAAAGATAGAAGACAATACCATAAAGTGATATCAGCCCATGAAATCAAATGACCGTTTATCTCAATATGGTTAAGATTCGTGGGAATAATCGAAGTTAGACAATAGACAATAACATAGAAACTATCTATTTTTTCCTAAATTTTAGGTGAAAATATTATGTTGTGTTCTTTATTCTCTTATTGAATTATCTGACGTACGATGGGTAAACACCATCTTAATGATCAGATTAAATTTATATCAATCAAATACTGATATGCTTCTCATATCTCTTATCGGTTATAAAATTGACATATATGTAGGAAATATTATTATGAACTGTATTTTATTGTAATGATACTCATCTATCACTGTATGAATCAGTTAAATGAAGTCAAATAAACTAAGTTATTTGACTAGTTTACGCTTTCGATTCATTTACAGTTTTCAATCACAAAACTGTATATCAATAATTGATTTTGTCATAGAAATTATCTTATTATGCCACTGATTTCATAGTAATTCTAGACAAGTAATGATTGTAAACAAAGATTTTATTCAAAAACAAATTAATAAATAAAATTATAACACTTAAAATTATATAATTGTTTATTAAGATTTTAAGCATGATCTACACTAATAAAATTTATTTATTATGAAGGTCCAAGTCAAAAAAGAATAATGGGAGTCTGTGCGAGAATTTTGAGAAATTTAGTAAATACTCTGTACTATAAATATAGTCTGATCAGATTAGAAAAATCTACATACAGAAAATGAACACTTAATATGTGTATAATTGAATAGAGGAGGAAGGGGAAACAACGAAAGAGAATCTCAAAAAGAACTCATTTCAATGGCTTTACATTTGATTAGAAGTAGTGATTAGACAAAAACAGCAACAACGAGAGAACAAAAAAAGCCCAACATGCATTAAAACATAAATCACATATTAGATAATAATAATAATAACAGAACAATGTTGATATACTTTAGTTTACGGTGTTTATTGAGATTAAGTGATAGAAAATAATCACAATATCAAAATTATTCAACAATAAAAATTGATTACAGATGGATTCGTGGTGATTTGTTAGTGTCATAATTCACATCAAGAATTAATATTAGTTAAACAACCACTGAGAGTGGTGATCCTCTTACGTCTGGTTAGAAATAGTAACTATTAGTGTACAATTATATCGGGGATGTAGGGAAGTTACTCATCATTGAAAACGGAAGATAATTGTGCAATATCACGAATTGATTTAAATTAAACAATGTAAACCGTTAGATTTTGTCTAAGTAAACAAAAGGTTAAGTGCTCGTTACAACATATGAACTACTTTGATTATGATATATTTAACAACTGATATTGGAAAACAGTTTGACGCTACGTTTTATACTCGTTTGTCAAGTCTGTTTATTGTAGTGTAGCGAAGTATAAAAGTATATATATTGAACGATTCACATTAACAGTCTTGATTATATCATAAATATTACATATATTGTGTACATATACTAATATATGGCCTTGGTACGATCGAGGATCTAGAGATTCCACTCTCCCCCTCGAAATGCTCTCACATGGCCACGACTATACAACCACTAACAGGGAAGTCCTACTCACTACCTTCACGCAACATTACTGTTGTTTACGTTTATAGAAAACCAATGTTTAGTACTTTAACCGGGTTGATGGATATGGATGACCCATCTAGGGGAGTTGGAAAACTCTGATTCTAAACCAGTGGTGCATATGTGCTCCAGGAACCCGAGGGGACAAAAGGCGTATGAACATATTGTTGGTCACTGCCTACCATGAGACTGCATCGCCTGATGTTGCTTCACTAACTTGTGAATTTTTTGGGGACGTTAGATCCCCAGAACTCACTTGGGAAAGCCCTAATTTTGTAATTTTATTCAGAAAATTTGAGTTTCTTTGTTTTCGCGCCAAAGGCGCTCTTGTCACCTTCATGTCGTATTTCCCACTGGGAAATATCTTAAATGCTATTGGTTCGTTGCATCTTTTAGTATGCTATTTGGTAACTCTCACCTACGACGGTTTTATGCTGTATATATACGTTCTGAATAGTGTTTGTTGTTGTCACTCGTTTCTGGCTGTTTGCAGAATATGCTTCCCCATTCCAAACTTGGACTTCTTTCTCTAGTTAGCGGGGCTGGGACGCATCAATAGCTAGTTTACTGGTCTTTGGTCACCGAGTCTTGTTTCTTGTTTGTAGATTAAGTGAACTCGTGAAAGCTTCAACCCTAGCAGGATTAGACTTCTAGATCAAAGGCTCGAGGAGTGATCTTTTAAGAAAACTATAGCAACTCACGTGCAATTGAGTTTGTTCTCACTTAATTTAGTTAAGCCCTTTTGTTAACTTATTTAGCGAACAAAGCATCCGTACTATAACAACTTATTGTACCTTTATTATTGTTGTGCTTGTACAAATATGTATGCATGAACATTGCTTACCGCCTACGCATATATTCATTCTGCTAGCTTTATTATTAACTCCTTAATATTGATTCGATGATTCATTCATTTCCCTATATATATACATGTAAGTTTAACACTCCCTACACTCTCGGTTCGCTGACTCACTCATTCGCCTCACTGCTCTGTGGTCTGAGTATCTGCTAATAAAACTGTAATCGCTGCTTCTCTTTACCTTCTGATTTCAAACAGCATTGAAGATTATGTGGTAACGGTTACGAGGGTGATTGGTTAACGAAGCACAGACACTACAAAACCACCTGTTTCGGTTTGGGAGCCCGCGTAGTATTTCAGCCCCCACATAAACAGAATAACGAAATGTGGCACACAAGTATTTGATGCCTCCTTGTACCAATCTTTATATGTTTAAATAAATAAATAGGAAATCTCACTACATCACTGTTGTGAATAGTTTAACCATTTAATAAAGAAGAATATGTCACTCCTTTTTGTAACTATTTTGTACGAAATATCTACCACGAACAAACGCATTTATATCACGTTATGGTGAATAAAAAACCTGATGACAGTCAATAGGAATCAACAGAAGTGCACTATCCAGAAGTCATCATTCAAGGAAGTTGACTATTATAAAACAAAATGTTCATGAATTGACTAAGTACAAGTGTTTTTTGTAAAATTCAGAAAATGAATTGATTTTCAATTTTACGATTTAAGATAATCAAAATTCTGAAATCTTTGACTTAGATATCAACCAATTGATAGTTGTTATGAATAGTAGTATCAAGTACATTATATTTTGTTAAATTATAAAACCCCACCTATATTTATTGTTCATAAGGTAATGAAAAGTGACCAGATAGAAATTCTATTGTTATGATAAATCCACACCAGTCTACATCATCATGAGAGAGAAAGCAATCCCAATACATCTGATAACTGTCATCGTATCGTGCTCTCTCTCTCTCTCTCGCTACTTTTTTTCATATCTCATTCGCAAACAAACAAAAAATATATTACTACCATAGTAACAATATCGTTATAATAATGATTATTAAATTTATTTTCCATAAAATATTCTATTGTTTCCCATTCTGTTTTGTTATATTTTATTGAAAGAATTGCATTATAATATATCAATAGGCATTATAGAAGTAGGAAATGATGTATAGATTAGCTGTTCAGTAATATTCACAAATAATTCTTTCTATAATTCCCAGAAAAAGGAAAAAGAAATGAAAAGCAATAAACTAGAATAAAGAAGGACAGAGACTGCATCATACTGTTGACGTTAGATGAAAATCATGATGTCACAAACTAATTGAAGTTAGGAATTTAGATTACTAAGATTTCGAACAAAATGGTCGAAAGGTGTGGTGGTCTCAGTGAGAACTGACGATCTTGTATGTAAGTTTGAATGAAAAAGTTGTCAAATTTGCATTAGTAATGAAATTGTAAAGTAAAAAAGCTTATGAACTTGATAGTCACATTCTTTATACGAATCCATATATCAGTCTGTACTTGGTTCGCGAGTCATAAAGACCCAGCTTCATCTAGCTTGATTTTGACCATCGAAAACTATCATCATTAGCCTTTACACAAACAGTGAGATTCAGAGTTAAGTACATAAACCAACAATTTCTAAATGAGTTACAATAAGACATTAGCTACCATGTTGTTAAAAGATATGATGATGCCTTATGGAAATTATGATTCACGTAAACTGGTTAATCTGAGCTATACAGATTAAATATTTCATATTAATCTTAATTTTATATTAGACTTAAGTAAATCTAAACATGTGTTTAATAAACCTACCCTTCAAAATTCAGCGATAGCAAAGGTTAAAATCAACAATAAGAAGAAACTTAAATAAATAAATAGATGTTTTTTAAGACCAATTCAACAATGATATAAATTAAATCAAGAAAACACTAACTGAACTTACCACCTGGAAGGAATTCCATAACTAAATACAGATTGACCGAATCTTGAAATGAATAAAACATTTTCACAACCCAAGGATTATCAGCTTTGACTAGAATATCACGTTCAGCTCTTACATGAGCCACCTAATGATTAGAAAATAAATGAAGTATTCGAAAACATTAAAATATATTTTCAGGTTTTAAAAAGGTTGACATTCATTACGTTACACTCGACTAAAACAACTACAATTGAAGATAGAAATCTAAGCTTAATTGTGTCATCTTTGTTTTGCGTTACACAGACTTGATATTTTTTAAAAGTAATTCATTGACAATTTTCTTTAGAAATATTAAACAATTTATTTCATAGCTGGTGGGATTGTGGATGAGCACTGCTGAGGAGTCTGATACTAGGAAAAAACAGATGTACAATGTTTTCTTAATTCGAGTGGTTATCTTTAACTAAAGTTAGCTCATGATCTAAAACTATGAATTTAATTATAATTTCTCTCTGAAACCACTTATACCGATAATTTACCCTAATTAGCGATGGAAATTCATAATCAGATTGACAGAAATCAACTCTGAAAGAAAATTATTTACTACTATTTTATCAACAACACTAGTCCACAAGTATATGGTGATTCATTAGCAGATTGGTTTTGTTAGGTGTTCCAGGTTATGGACTTTAATCATTCGGAAAACTGTTAGAAAGTAGAGAGCTGTGAAACGCTGTTTCAACCATAAACATAATTTATAAGTAATTTGAATTCAGACTCGGTAAGAACCGAAGACTTCCAGATATTGTAGCGAATTCGTTATTCTTAGACTAGATCCTTGTTGTTTACATCTACAATAAACAAATAGATAGAGGGTGAGCAACCTAAAACTTGATATCGATAACCAGTCTTAACCACATTTTTGTTTCAAAAATGACAGTAATTCAAGTAAACAACACAACAATGTTATCTCATTATTACTAAAATAACGAGACGAATTCAACCAAAAAAAACTCAACAAATGACGTTTGCACACATGTTGATAATTATAATGATGACACGCAAATGAAAAACGCGGGATCAATAAGCGTAGAAACCCGTATTAATAACAATACGACCACTGCTATTACTACTAATAATAATATTAACATCAATCTCAGTATTACAAACGTGATAATTTAAACACAGCTGAAAACAAAATCAATACAAACGGTGAGTGTATCTATGTCCTTCATATGTGTGTACTTGTAACTAAGATTAATGGTCAATTTAACTATTGTGTTGATGTGTATTACATTTTTATAGTTGTGATGTATAGCTCTTTTGTGTTTCAGTGAGTAATTTATGCATAGAACTACAATTACACAAATATTCATGAACAGTTACAATGGGAAAACAAAAAGAAAACATGTATTGTAATGAAAAAGATAGTAACAATAATAAGTTGTTTTTTCTGTGTAAATAAAATCAGTTTTTTTTGTAACTCTATAGGCAAAACAAAAATGTATTACGAGTACAAATGTAGAATAACAACATTTCAGAACGAATGATATAGAAGCTAATAAATCTATACAAACACATTACGCTTCGATGGACTACATGACAATGGTCAGTAGTACATATATATCTGCTGACAAAGATTTATGAAGAAATTGCAGTTTGTAACTATTTCGTAAACTGTTCAGTCGGAAAATCAGAGTTAATAAAGTTTAATCCATTTAAAATTTATACAATAAGCACGGAACAACGGTCGGTCAATTAATATTATAACAAAGCAGAGCATTTGTTATTAATTACTGATTAGTTATCCCCCCCACAGCCAAACTTATCAACCGAATGCGATACGTTTTGGCGTTCAAGCTACCTACTGCTAGCAAACAACGAGAATAGGGTGTTAAAATAAGGCCCCTCTATTCTTATCGAGTTGGAAAAGCTATCATTTATCCAAACCGAGGGAGGCAAACAAGTTCTAATGGACTGACATCGGAGATCTTTAGGAATGATGGTCTAGTTTTAGCAGCTAGATTGACTGAGATTGTTATGACTTTACGTCCGGCTTTTTATCACGTGATCTATCCACCAATCAAAATACGACTTATACTATATCAGCACTGTGCCAAACCAATGACGTTCGACCGGTATGAGCAGCCTAGCGTCCTTATTGGTCCGATGTCCGCCTGGCTCGTCCACTTGAGTCCAGAACACCAATGCCAGCTTCCACGATGCGAATCGAATCGAATCATTTATTTCAGACATACTGGGTTTATATATCAACGAGACAGACCGCGACGCACCATAAAATAGGAAATAACATTTGTACACAATAAAGCCAAAAAGTGGCTGTGAATGTGGGAGGCAGTAAGTAAGTCAATAAACTGAACATAGCTTAAGAACAGTAAATCGTACAATAATAAATTATAGGTCAAAATAAAGCTTACAATAAGAGGAATATACGCATACATAATCTAATGACTGAATAGTTATACAATAAGAATATTTATAAAATATTTGTCCATTAATAGTCCTCGAAAGTTACCCGTAATTTAATCTTCACTGGGATATAACAAGATATTAACTAGTCTCAAGACTAGACGTAATCCAATATGACTGGTACCAAACTGTCACTGGAATCAATAACACAGTGGTATTCGTCATGGTTGTCACAGCTTCCTCCAAATTTATTTAACTTTTCCATAAAAATATTATTAGAGAAAGCCCTCTCATCATCTGAATTTTTATCAATTCATCTCCCTTAAGTATATATTTACCTGCTGACTTAGAATACATGGATGACATAATCCTGCTTGATCAATATGATGACAAAATGCAGTCTTCTAAACACTATGAGCAACAACACAAAGGTGTTTGGGATTTTAACCTTTAAGTAAACGCAAAAATGTTGCTCCTCGAATCATATCTTCTATGTCGATACAAATGTGTGCTAGGTTCTAGGTTGCATAAGACTGACTAATTGACAAATTCGTTTAACGTTTCATGGCTATTTCCTTTTCACCTGTATCTAAAGTATATATCTTCAGAACAACAATGGAAGATTTACAGTTCATTTCGTTCAGAGAACGTGACACCTCCAAATACGTACTGTCATTATTTATGAGTTATATAATCAAGATTGGCACTTCTTATTGAGTTTGTAATTTGCTTTATTCCTAAAATATTCGTATTGAAAGAAAAGCATTTTTGGGAACCTTTAAAACAGAATTATATGGAATTGTATGTAATGAATGGATTGTAGCCAGCAGTGTAACACACAGAACGAGCGTTTTGTTCTATGATTATATCGAGACAATTTGCACAGAACGAAAATATCCTAACAAGGAATGATTATATTTAAATCAAGAGTATCGATACCAGGATGAATAGAACACACATCAGTAACATCATTCTTACCAAAAACGTTAATGGTTAGCTGGACTCACTGACTCAATGAATAACAAACTGGTGTTTGAAGAGATATATACTAGGGTTCACATCTCAACTTGAACATCAATACTGGGATGATGTAGGTGTGTGCAAATAATGGAACACCTATCCTAGATTCTGCCACTAGCTATAAAAATTTATCTGTTCTATATAACCATTAGAATTTTTAACAGTAATTTATTTCAAGAATACAAATAAGGGTATATGTCTTATAGAAAGAGAAAATACTGTCATAATCTCAAGAAGTGAATTCAACATTAATAAAATTAGAAATTAAACAAGATAAAATTAACAATCATTATTCCCATACATACCGAATAATATTAACTATGGTTAACTACGACAAGACTAAGAATAAGCGCTTACTTGATCCTTTTGTAACATATCTGCTTTATGCAAAATCTTCATAGCATAAATATAGCCATTGTCTTGCTTTTGAACTAATCTTACCTATCAAACATGTTATATAAAGAGAAAGATTGAGAGATAGAAAAATCATAATAAAAATTTTATCATGAGGAGAAAAACAGTGAAAAGGTATTAAATTGTGAAAAAAAGCTTTTCATGAAGTTTAATACCGCCAATGAAAACAACTTCCTCCTTCTTGTTAAATAAGTCACAGTAAAACATGAATTATCAGTGTAAGAGTTACAGAGACCATTATTCAATAGCTGACGTGATATAATGTGTTTTTAGCAATAGCTAAAGCACATACGCGGAGAGAGATTTCTTCTACAAACGTCTGTAAACTGTTTGATATCCTGTGTTACTAATAATTATTGATGAATAAACGATAAATAGGATATACTTGATGTACTTCCATCTTAATTCCTAACAGTCGAACCCAAGAAACCAAAAGTAGTTTCTTCCAGAAGGGGACAAATGCACACATGCATCAGGTTTCATTTTGTTTATAACTGGCTAAGAACATAGTTCAACTCCTAAAAAATCATTATAACCAATCAACAAAAGGATGAAGTGAATAAAAGTTTGATATTAAGATCATTGAGAGCGAAAACATATAAATTAATGACGTGTATTAAAGTCTTTTAGAAAACCTTCGTCATTATCAAGTGATGTAAATACACTTCACTTATTTTTACAATTTAGTCCTATGACAATTATGATTCATTAAAAATCTCCAAAAAATGCAGTCACATGTTAAACTGTTTTATATTTTTATCATTTGGATTCAAAATAACTCTGTGACCTTTGATTTTGACCACATAGCCTGTTTAATAAACAACCAAAACGAAGACGAAAGAAGCAAACAATTAACTGAGTGCAATTGGCATCACAAGTCAATCGAAGTTAAATGATCACTGAAAATCAGGAAAAACTAAACAGCTGTTTTGTCTCAGCATAAGTCAACAGTTGTTGACCATAAAATTAAATGGTCTCCACAAAATCCCTATATTGTAATTCCTGAAGTTCTAATGAGAAGCCAGAACCAGTGGAGTCCAACCATATTCAGTGTGAGGCAGTTAATCAGCAACGATGTAGGAAGATGACTGCACAACATTACGAACCAACTGACGTTAGGAATAATAAACTATTGGATGATGAAACAGAGATTTAAAAGTTAGGCGTTCGGATTGGACTCATGGATATGTGGATGGGCATACCCGTGGAGTTCCGAACCTGAATAAAACAGCTATCGCGTGTTTCCTGGTTTTAATTGGTTGTCTAATTTAGGTTGGTTTA